AACTTATTTACAGAAATTCATGAAATAGTAGTTCAATAAAATTTTGAATGCGAGTCAACAAACGAGATGACATGGCCTTTCACCTGTGACCCGTATCGAAAGGGTTAAATATGCCTACTGAACAAACCTACTAACTTACTCGTTTCAGTTGATCTGGTGTTACTATTACACTTGCAGCCAAAGACTTGAGCAACTTGCATATCAGTAATCGAAAGGGTTAAATATGCCTACTGAACAAACCTACTAACTTACTCGTTTCAGTTGATCTGGTGTTACTATTACACTTGCAGCCAAAGACTTGAGCAACTTGCATATCAAGTCCATAGCACGTTCTCCCATGTCTTCAATTACCATTACCACAGCCTGGAAAAAAGTAATTGTTACCACATAAGATAATGTGCTGAAACTTCAAGTATTCAAGTAATAAATATTATGTCTTCAAGTATCTCCTGTTGTATATAAAATACATGATCTCAACCCCCACTTTTTAAATGCCATCTTCATTTTTTAAGCCAGGGGTAACTTTACAGTAGAACTTGGGTGCTAATTTGTTCATGACTATAACAATGGATGATTAAAACATTTCTAAGTCATATCAAGGCACAACTTTTGATATTAAGCACAAGAAAATCCCTGAACCCTTCTTCTAAGGTAATTTCACTGGAGAAAATTATTTCAAAATAATACACTTTCTTGTTACTTACACTAGAATGTATTCCACTGGCTGAGCAGAATATATCAATGTATGATTTCAACAATATATTACAACATGATTGTTCACAACTTTCTAATTTTGCCTTTTAAGGGAAGTGGATTGGCAGAAAAGGCAAGTTGAATAGCCATCTGAAGTCCTGACCTATCATCTTTGAATTTCACATGGGGTCATATAAAACCTGAAGGATGATAGTAGGACAGTGTGCCAAAATAACACCTCCAATCTTTATGTGTTCCACACAAGTCTGAAGTATGCTCAGTTTGCAAGGACAAAAGTTTGAGATTATACTGCAACAGAAGTATGCCACATGATTCTTTTGGTCCACATTGTACCATATATTAAAAAAAAGTTGTGTAAAGGGGGGGGGGTATTCTTTTGAGAATCACAGACAATAATGTGTTAACATGGTTAAGCCCATAAGAAGATGTAACATACCTCATAAACCAGTTCATGATGGAAGTGTGGAACTTCTAGCTCTCGAAGACATCTCGTAGCTTCATTAATATCTCCAGATGACAGGTATTCCTGCAGCAATAACTGCATCTACAAACAAGGCAAACTTCCACTTACTGGGAGAACTTGTAATCTACCTCTGAATTATAAAAATATATGCTATAGTGTACATATAAAAATGTTAACCCCCAAATTACCGATTTGTTTGTATATATTCACTACTGATGGGGTCTACAAGATATTGAGTAATTTTATGCTTTTTTACTGTTACAACACTTACGAGTAAAGAACTGACCCAGAAAACTGTGTGAAATCACTCATTTACAATGTAAAATACAGTATAGATTAGTGGGATAACTATTCTTATTTTTGTGTAATGAGGACCATGTATTATCCAGCACAAAAGCCAAAAGTTCCTGCAATATGTATCTTTAGGACCGTTAAGTGATGCATAAACTGAATATGAACAGTATTGGGAAGCAAGCAAACTCAAGTGTAGCCTGAAGGTGAAAATTATCTACTAAACACAGTGTTAGATTAACATACAGCACACAGGAGAGATCAAGAGACAGAATTGTGGAAATACCCCAGCAAATCAAGTATCTCGCAAGTCCACAGGTTACATACTACAATCAATAGCCCTCGTGTAGTTCTAAACTACACCAAACCAGCCCGTACAGGTTTCTGTACCGCGTGCTTGAATAGGATACCTTCCAAGAAGTCCATACAAAAACACATACATACCAGCTTGAGACTTATGAACACGAGTTACAGTATGTAGCCTTTACTTATGTAAAAAGATTAACATATGTTTACAACCTAAAGGTAACCGATCCCGATGGATATGATTAACAACATGCAGAAACTGCATCTTCCATAACGAAGTCACTGTCTTTAGATTCTGCTTCTATGACAGCCACACCTGCCATGTCCATGTGTATCTCAATAGCTGCATCCATAAGGTCTTCTTCCCTCTTTAATTACTTCTTCAACAGATTGGTATGGTAGACATGGTTCTTCCATTGACTTTCACATTATAGTGCATTTGCTTACCACTTCCTGTACTGTGAAAGATCCTTTGCACTGCTAGGTGAGTTTGTTGTTGTCTGTATGTAGCAGAACTAAAACCTTCTGTCCAATCTTGAAATATTGACCCTTGACCTTCATGTTATAATAGTGTTTCTGACTGTCTATGGATTTGGCTTACCCTATAGAACAGCTTTGATAGGTCAGGTTCAATATTTCTTTCGGGTCCTCTGTTTTGTAAATCTCTTTCCATTTTGTATTGTGCTTGACTTTCTCTTGGGCACTGTCCCAAAGTTTCTTTCTTCCGCACTTCCTCCAAATTTTTACTATTTGGTATGTTTCAAGTCGTACATTGGTTTCTTAATACACACGGCCTCAAGGTCTCCTATATAATATGGAATATCCACCATTATTTTTTTTTTCTATGGGAAACTTTCTTACTGTCCCATCAATTAGCACACACAGGCATACCTTGCCTGTCATCTAATCATCGGATACTAGACTGATTCTCACTGCTGCACTATTGCACCCAGTGTCTCATAGAACCTTCACTTTCTTGTCTCTGACATAGCCTTCACATATTGGCATATTATAATTTGTTGGCACCTCTTGATATTTCTAACATGATCTGATCACTACTGAAACTGTTGATCCATTTGCTTACTTAAGCTGATCATTAGTTGTACACTGATCAATCATGGAAATGGCACTTCCTTCTTATGGTGAATCTCACGTGTTTTTTTGATTCTGTTTCTTCTGGCAGTACCATCCATGGTGTCAGTCACTCTTTTCTTGTTTCTTACCAGCACTATCTTTGTAAATAACTCCAGCTGTTTTATGTTGAGATTTCTGCTGGTAATGGATTTGCACTCCTTTACATTGTGTCCCATTTTATAACAAATATAGCATCTCTTCTCCCTTCTGTCTATTAACATTCTGTCACCTTTGGTAAAGTCCTGTTTCTGGTCAGTCATTACTGGTTTCAAATTTAACTGGATATTTTTGAACTTGCTAATTATACTCCCTCTATGGGCTTCCATATACTGTTTTGCTACTTTGATCATCTCGTCTATGTCTCCTTTAGGAATGGTGACATGTCAGTTGAACACGTGATCATGAACTGTTCACGTACTAATAGGTTTGCCAGTCCCTCAAAACTATTGTCATATTTGGCCATGTCAGTCCACTTTGTGAAGTATCACTGTAGACATTCCCTAAATTGAAATACAGTTTCTGCAGTGTTAAGTTTGACTTCAATACTTCAAGCAAAAACCTTCTTCAGTAAGTTCATATCATTTCAGCAAAGCCACTTTTAATTTGTCATAGTCCATGGCATCTTCTGATGTCATGCCTGCATATATTTGTAGGCCTTTTCCTATGAGAAGTAGGCTGAGGCAGACTGTATATTTGCCTTTGCCCAGTTCTGACTTTGGGCACATTTTTCATATCCCTCCAGGAAAGCATCCATGTCATCTTTATCTTAATCAAGTTTGGGCAGCTTGGGTCCTTCTTCCTTCGGTTGGGCGAGTCTTGCAATCTCAATTTAGGCTCTTATTCTTTCTATTTCTAGTCTCTCCCTCTCTTTTTCTTCTATCTCAATTTGTGCTCTTATTCTCTCTATTTCTAGCTTCTCCTTTCTCTCATTTTCTTCTTTTAGTCTTTCTTCCTCTCTTCTCTGCCTACACTCTTCTCTTTCTAGTTCTTGTTTAACAAGCTCTCATAGTTCACTGTCTTTTAACCCAAGATGCTCTGCTCTTTCTACCCATTTATCAAAATCACCTGGCATGGTTATATAGCATAATTGTAATCTCTACACTATTTGCACTACTACCACAGTTTTGCATGTATAAGCCTGGTTATTTCCGCTGTCATTCACTTTTTCTTTTATCGCCATTTACCACAGTATAATCCTGGTTGTGGTTTGCCAAATGTCAGGAACTTATTTATATATATAGTAAATATACGAGTGTGTTGGGCTAAGGATTCTTTTACAGCAGGTGTCTGTGACTTGTTGGCAACAAATTCGACGAGAAATGAATAGTACGCACTCCACTTGTTTTAAAATAACATATTGAAAACAAGTTAAACGTATGTAAAAAAATTCTTTGCACTATGTATATCATAGTTGTATCTTAAATACTATACATTTCTCTTCTTCTTGTCAAAAGTCCACTTCGGTAAATTCAATTACTTTAGAAGTCAGTTGACAAGCTGAACTATTTTTTCTCCATTTTTATCTTAAACACTATCAGTGTATAATTCACTTATTCCCTTTCTTCCCTCTCTTTTTTTCTTTTATCACAACAGTATTGGTGTATTATCACAGTTGTATCCTGAACGTCCAATACTTGTCTTGTTTTTTTTTTTTACTTTCCAATAAACGTATGCTTTTTTGATATAGGCCTATTTCCAAATAATCATCTGCCACAGGCAGGTTCAATTGCTTTAGAAAACCCTTTTATGAGACAAATTATTCTCCTAAAATGTCTGAAAACTGTTAATTTCATTAATACATCAATTGCTAGGCTATTCAGTCCTATGATGGTTAACTTTACATTTTTTAACTTTTCTCTGACAGAACGTCTCTTTTACGTGACTTTACTTTTTGCTGTCTTCCCACTCTCTGGACTCTCGTTGGGTTGCCAGTATTTATATCTCTCACTGAGGCATTCTAGAAATCTCCGTAGCCTCAGCATCAAGTTCCAATAATAGTCTGTTTTTAACTCTCTTATTATGAAAAAAACACACTAAACAATCATGAAATATTAACTCACAAAATAATGTAATTAATACTACCTAAGCTAAACAGTTATTTATATCTGACAACACTGGAAAAAAATTTTCTCAGTATCATGAACAGAATATTGTTTCAATTTTAGGACCTGTACTAAAATGTATTTTTTTATTATTATTACTATGTCATCAGGAGTGCAATTATTTTAAGTGGTAATCTGCTAGTCCTAGTCTAATAAATTTAGCAATTTGAATGGTCCAAATGGCTAGTGTAAATTTCAGTAGACCAGCATTACCTATATCTACAAATGTAGCATGGTGTGGAGATCATCACTATATCTTATTATTGTTATTTTTTTTCCCTATATCTTGCCTGAAATTTCATAAAAAATAAAATTTAAGCAACTACTGAAAACTTAGATGTCACTTTCAACTACTAAAATTCCCTGCTTGGCTGTTTATCTTGTATTCTAATTCTTTCAGCCTACAGACTAGTTGAGGCTAATCTTTGGTAAAAAGATTTTTTTTAAAAAACAATGAGCATTATTTGAAAGCATGAATGTATTTTTGAAAACAAACTCTCCTCCATCGTTTAAACTTATATTTTGGTGTATTCAATGCAATTTTTATAAATATATTATCATCACATACTTCATCATGTAAGAAACATGTCAGAAAGCCATGTGTTGTCTTAGGCCTAATTTTGTCTACCATTTTAAAGATGAAAATTTATAGAAATAATACTTCTATATATCCAAAATTATTTACAGAAAATCAATGTTTTGGTCAAGTTTCAAAACATTTAACAGTTTCCTCTTTCAGGTGTATTATGATTGATGAAAAAATTCAATCTCTTTCACAATTTTATTTTGTTAAAATTAAAATATGGAGAAATAAAAGAGATAAGTGCTAAAAATTGTCTTTCTAGTCACAGCATTCAACAGTTCTACAATTAACTAGTCTCATTTAAGAAGATCATTCCAATAATGGCTAACTTTTTGTGATGTTAAATTCATGCTCTGGATAATAATATTCAAAGAGTGCACTTCACTTATACTTGTTCTTAAATACCTCTTTCTCCAGCAAATAACAGATCATTATTTACTGGTTAACTCTCTGGTATAACTTAAAAATAAAAAAGCAAAGACTTTCTGGTGTATAGCACACCAACTAGGAGAAACATACTTTGTTAATGAGGTACTTAACAGGCCTCATTCCTCCACCTTCTCCCCAGATGTTATCTAATCGAACAAGACCATGCTTCATACCTAGGAGAGTATCAGCATGCTCAAGAGCTGCCCTGAAATGTATAATTTTACAGATGTTTGTTACATAATTCAGTTGTTTAATAATACAAAAAATAAAACAACACATTTGATCTTGTTTACATATTTGATGAATTTTAAAGATTATCAAGTAACTAAGCTAAAAGGCCAAGTCACAACTGTTAAATAGTACATTTTACAAAAGGTATTCAAATCTGATTAATTTCTGGTCGATATTCATTAACACATTTCTTTTTACATTTTATTTAAGCAATTGTCTTCCCACTAATAAATCACACTAACAAGGGATAACTAACAAAGATTTATCAGTGACCATGATCACCTTTAGAAATTGCATTACTTTACAATTGTCAGTGATATTTTCTCAACATTACTTTTGTCGAGGACCATTCATATTTAATATTTATAGTTTGTATAAGTAAACAAAAAATTATATCTGTACGTGTTGCTCAAAAATTGTCAAATTAATATACTTAATATTTGTATTTTGTTTAATAAATAAGATGTACTTGTACTTGTGATGTACTTGAATTTGTTAAACTTAATATTATATATGAAATAAAATATGGATTTGAGTTATACAAATAGCATCCCATCACAGGCTTGCTATCTAAACCTATATTATATTTATCTGATGCATTATCATAGAACAATATTCCTGTAACTTTCAAACAGCCATAATATAATGCAAAAACATTCAAAGGAACAATAACAAAAACATTTTGTTCTATGCCTTGCACCCAAGTGTTCAAAACTTTGGGTTTGGATCATTAATTTACACTACAAGAAATCTAGCTGGTTATTATGTTGCAAACCACAAACTACCCCAAAACCTTTTTTTTTTTTACTGAATTATGACTTAAATGGAGTACAATTTTCACTGTCCATACTTTTGAGACTTCTGCTCAAGCTACATTCAAAGCTAAGCAAAACTCCATAATAAGTGGTTAAGACCTCACTCGCACAAGGCAATCAAGTACTTGTAGTAATAAAACCACTGACAAAGAGACAGAGAGAGAAAATGATGTCGAAAAGACATGGCTCTCTCTGTATTTCAAAGAGATGACAGTTTCTTGACAAATGTAAGCATAACCTTTCAGATGAGAAGAAGATTCTTAAAAAAAACAATAAATGTGCGGGAGAGATTTCTCAAAAAAAAATTGGAACTTTTATCTTTCTTTGTGAAATATGCTAAATGAACAAATAAATTTGAGTTAAAAATTAGTTGAAGTAGAAATATGTTTTTAATTTACATTTTAAAACTTGATATGTAGGTACACTCTCAACACCTGAAGTGCACACACACACACACACACACACCAGTCATAAACAGAATTAGTGTAAACTTTTATAAGCCAATTTTTTATCCTAAATTACCAATAGCTAATATAACTAATGTACAGAAAAAAAAGCAGGCCTCACAAGAAGAACATAGGCTAATAGATGGATAAACAACATAAATACATTTGCTACATATTGTTTATTATGAGCTTAATATGTAAAGATATCTTGTTTTTAAAAGATTTTTAAAAACAAGATATTTGTAAGATTAAGCTCATAATAAACAATATGTAGCAA